GCTAATCATGCTAGAAACATGCTAGTAACTTGCTAATCATGCTAGCAATATGATAACCTTGTTAGAAACATGCTAGCAACATGCTAGTAGCGTGCTAATTGTGCTAGCAACATGTTAATCATGCTAGAAACAGCCTAGCAACCAACCCAGGTACCCTAGCAATATGTTTTATACCTATCTGTTTTTTTGATAGACTGTATTGCCTTGAAAACATTCAAACTTTAATCTTTAAAACTATTTTAAGTTTCAAACTACTTCAAACTAAAAACTTTCAGACTGCAAGCTTTTAAAACTTTTTAAAACTTTCTAGCTAGGCTTTTTCAAGCCAACTTAAAGTTTGGCAACTTTACAACTTAAAGTATACAAACTTTTCAATCGAGTTCTTATATGCTTTTGAAGGACACAGGAATAATGCCTGTCTAAAAATGTTCACTCTTAATGCTCTGGTAGATAATACCTGACATTGAGATAGAAAATACACAAAGAATGACTACATGCAATATTTTGAACAAAAATGTGTAATAGCATTAAATTAATTATCTCCCCTTTGTTCAGTAAATATAGTGAACACTATTTGGTTGTGTTTGTATAAGAAGGAGGGTATATATGAATCAGGATGTGGCTTGTGTACAAGATCATCTTTGAGACTCATGTAGGTTTGTCTGATGAGTGAATGTTTAAATCAGAGATGTTCTTCTGCTGTTTGTATTATTTGTGTCTTGATGAGTAGGCACTGAAGAGAGTCATGTTGTGACCGAAATGTACAAACGTTTTTCACTCTTGTAGTGTAAGGGGCATAGTGTATTTAGCCTATATTGTGGCTTACATACTTACATCCTTCCTGTTGTGTATGTATTTGTTGTATCCCATACATGATCTATAAATAACTAATGTTATTAACATGAAAAACGTGTAAAACTAGCCTTTACCTGTGTACACAAATTATTATTTTTTTTCCCTGTGTACACTAATGTTTCCTGTTGCATAGTGCTGTGATGCTATTATACAAAACATCAGATGGCGCCACTCAAAATCGTGAAAGTGATGACCGTAGTAGAAATGCCTAAATATGAGCCAAAGATATTGGTAAAAACCAATTGTCTGTCTTTTACAGTTTCAGGTCCTTATAGCAGGAATACACTGATCAACATTAAAACCATCTGCTTAATATCTTGTAGATTCCCTTGTGCTGCCTTGAACTCCACAAGACATCTGAACGTGTCCCATGGTCTTTGGCACCAAGAAATTAAAAGCAGATCCTGTAAATCCTGCAAGTTGCGAGATTATCCTGCTGAAAGAGGCCACTGCCATCAGGAAACACCATTCGTCAAACCAGGCAAACTTCTTCCACTGCTCCAGGTCCAGTTCTGATACTTACATGCCCATTGTAGGTGCTTTCGGTGTTGGACGGGGCTATTTAATGTGACTACAGAGCATAAAGGTATTTACTTTAACATGATGAGTTTCTGCAAAGCTGCTTTGAAACATTGTGTATTGTAAAAAGTGCAATATAAATAGCCTAGATTTGACTTGACTTTTATGGGCAGCTATATGTCAACTTATCATTGTGATGGTGATATTCTTATTTGTAGCCAATATTCAGTAGATTCAGCGGATTTAATAAGATTTAGTGTGTGCCGTGCAGTGATCAGGCACAATGTCATTATTGGGTCTTTAGTGGTTCCTCTATGAGAACAGCAGCATGTGTTTATAGCGCTCTCTATCAGGTAAAAGTAGCGCTATTATTAGAGATGGTGATGCGATTATGTGCTTGTGCTGAATTTAAAAATGTCCAAGTGTGTGATTTTGTAATCACTGTGCAATGCACTCGATATTCAGTTACATTTCCTACAAAGAATAAAACAGAAGCAGCAAATGACAGACAAAAGAACAGCAGGGTGGGATCAACATTTAATAATGACAGTTATGTAAATTTCTGTATGAAAAACTAAAGAATATTTTTGTGATACAAATGGTGACATGGCAGGGAATATATGTGAACAAAAACAAAATGTGTGTGTGAGGTATTGTCTAGTATGAACAACCAGTTCCAGTAGATAGTATCTGATCATCGTGTTTTGGGGACATTTTCATACACGGTATCCATCTTTGTTTTCTGCAAGGAAACACAAATACAATCAAGAACCTGGTGAATATGGCAGAAAATTAATTTCAGATCAACCAAGGTTTCTACATTTCTAGGTCTTCACATTTACAACAAAACGTATAAATGTTTCTATATATATATTTTTTTTAAGTGCAAAGCTGAATCAATTTTTTTTCTTTAACTGCTACTGCAGGGGTGTCCAGTCCTGCTCAAAAGGGCCAGTATCCTGCAGTTTAGCTCCAACCAGCCTCAACACACTTCTAGAAGTTTCTAGTGAGTCTAAAAACCTTCATTATCTGGTTCATGTGCATTTAATTAGGATTGGAGCTAAACTCTGCAGGACAGTGGCCCTCCAGGAACTGCTACTACAGAACAGATGCTATGTGTAATGCAGTGTGTTTATATGGTTTAAGGTACAAAAAACATTATTTTCCACATACTGTACATAATTGTTGCTCCTCTATGCCTCACCTTTCTGAAACGCATCAATTTTTACAAAGCTCATCCGTTCTGAAAAACGAGGTGTGCTCTGATTGGCCAGCTATCCGGTGCGTTGTGATTGGTAAAACCTAATTCATGATTCATGTGAATGAAGGCAGAAATAATCTTTTTTTTTTTGTTTGTTTTTTTGGACTGCACTTAAATTTTTTCCTGTTTTGCTCTCTTAAATTACCGTTCCAAATTCTCGCTTCCAAATCCAGGTGTTACACATTTAGAGCAGGGTGGGTTTAGGGTTTAATGTCTCCATTGGGCCCCTATTTCGAGACTGACAGTTCTTCCTAATCCGTGTGAGGTGTGGCATCACTACTACGCAATGTTGGCTTCCTGCTCAGTGATCACTTGAACGGGTGAATGTGGAGCTGGCAGATATCAGATCTTTTGATCTGTTCCCCACAGCCACAGGTCACCCACGTCTGTTCACTGACCATCTGATGCTGCAAACTTCAGTCACGCTATAACTGCAACACAGTCAGTAATGATCTTACCATTTTTCTTGTTGGTTTACCCAATGCTGCATCCATTCTGCCTTCCTCCTGGGTGTCGACTGCATTAACAATAATACACAGATATGTTAAAACAACGAAGCTTTATATATATATATATATTTATATACACACACACATACATACGTACATACATACATATATGTGTGTGTGAATGTGTGTATGTATATGTTTCAAATGCATTAATTGTAATTAATGTTTGTAGTTAGTAATTGTAATAATTTAATCCCTGACCTGTTTTTCTACATTTCCTGCAGTACATCACAACTGCAGCTACAATCAACAGAGATCCAGCAGCACAAATCAGCAAAATGTAAAACAAGGGTAGGCTCTGATCTGTAATGGACAAAATGAGTTTGTTAATCTGACCTCAAGACTGAGATCTTAAAGGGATAGTTCACTCAAAAATGAAAATTACCCCATGATTTACTCACCATCAAGCCAATATGATGACAAGCCATAGGCGTAGCGTAAGCTCAGGTGAGAAATGACGAATGTGAAAGCGCAGAGGAGAGAGCACAGCAAAACACCGGTCACGAATTATAAGTACGAAATGAGGGTTTGTAAAGAAACATTTCGAAGGATTTCGATATAAGCCCAGAGGAGACTGGTTTTTCTTTGCTGTAAACAAAACTTGGTTCTCGTGAGATTAGCATATTCTCACCAGAGCTTACGATACGCCTACATCTACGTCATCCGCTGGAACGCCACTCTCTTGTGAACACACGTATGACAGTTAGTGGAAGCTAGAACTACAGTTTATAAAGTTTCAAATATGGATGTTTTTCTTACACAAACACATTGATTCAGAAGGCCTTTATTAACCCCCAGAGCCATGTGGAGTACTGGTTATGATGGATGTACTTAATTTTGCTTCAAAATCTGAAAGAAGAAAGTCATATACATCTAGAATGGCTTGAGGGCGAGTAAATCATGAGCTAATTTTCATTTTTGGGTGAACTATCCCTTTAATGATTGTATATTTTAATGTTAAAAGCAGAGATCAGCTTAATAAATAATCATATCACCACTATTGTACCTGAGTGAATATGACAGATTTGAGTGACATTGAGATGTTGAGTCTGGTTGCTGATGGGATTGTTGAGCACACAGCTGTAGGTGTTTTTATCCTGATATTCCACCTCCAGAGGTAGAGAGAGACTGATGCTGAGATCAGACACACTGATGCTGGACAATAAACTGTTTCCTTTGTACCAGGAGAGAGTCACATGACCCACACTCACCACTGAACACAACAATGAACAATATGATGATGATGATGATGATGATGTTATAAGATTTTGAGAAGAATCTGGTAATGTTTGGTGTGGGCAGACGAGCTGGAAAACATGAGAATAAACTAGAAATATGGATAAATCTAGTCAACAATCTTCTTTTCAGTGTAGTGTGACGGTCAGTGAGTGTTTCCATCATCTCAAACTATAAAATGATTAAACATTTCAATATGTAAGTAATTAAAGAAATGTGAGAGGTTCAGTACAAGTTAAGCTCAGTTTAGCATTTAAGCATCATTTACTGCATAATGATTACCAGAAGAAAAAAATATCCAATTGCAAAAATGTGACACAATGGAAATGAATGAATTATTATTATTATTATTATTATTATTGTATCAACATTGTGCTATTGATTGAGCTTAACTTATAATTATTGTGTTAATAAGACAAGAACAAATCAGCTTTTTACTCACTATAGACAGAAACACTGAATGTTTTTGTTGACCGTTTTGCTCCACTAATCTTTACTTCATAGAGTCCAGCATGTTGAGTTGTGATGTTTGTGATGGTCAGAGATCCAGTCTGATGATCCAGCTTCAGTCTGTATCTGAATCTCTCATCAGGGAAGATTTGGTTCTCTCTCTTGATTTGAGCTATGAGAGACTTTTTATATTTCCACAGTATGTCTTCATCCTCATGTATTGCAGTAGCGTCAGTGTGTAAAGTGACAGAATCTCCCTCCGTCACTGACACCGACACTGACTCACCAAACACACCTGATGAACAAACAGGAACAAATGAAGACTTTTGTTGATTTACAGAGCCAGAAATCAGTTCTAGCTTATCTAAATGTGAACTGACACCTCAATCTGTACAGATTGTTGTGAGAACTAATAATACCTCACAATCATAATGATTTGATGTATCTGAGAAGAACAGCAAATGAAAATCAAATTTGAACAGTAGCAGCAGCTTTATTTATCTGAAACAGGAATAAATAAAGCCATAAACATGATTTTATAACTTACCAGTCAAACACCACCAGCACAAAGAGAACAAAACAAAAGTGCAAACCATTTTCTTCAGTTGTTCAGTGAAATCTAGAGACTCTCAGTCTCTTCGTGTGGTGTGTGAATCCTCCCACGATATGCTTGACACTCCTAGTGTGTGAAATGCATACTCTTTTCGCATGGTATATAATTTATAAATGATCTTCTGGCACTTATTCAGACCTTAATTGGTTTTAGTAGTGAAAAACATTCTTCAGTTTTATCATTTAACAAGTATCAAATATAAAATATGAAATGTAGTGTTTTGACAATTAAATATGTTAAAGAAGAAGTGTGGAAAATTGCAAAATGAGATTAGTCAATGTAAAATTCAAAATCTATTTTTTTTACGGTTTTATGATTTAATTGTTACAAATGGTTAAAAAAAAAAGTCATCTCTCTTTGTCTGTTGTACTGAGTTGTGACAAAAACAGCTCAACAGAATCAAACTGAAACCTGCTGCGGTCTGAAGTGTGATTTGATCCGTGGACAAACATCTTGCATGCATTGTGTGATCTGTGTTTAGTTTGTAGGTGAAGAGCTTCTTCCTTTTCTGCAACAATGAACCTCGCAGTTGATCCCCTTACAGAACAATAATTTTTTACCTATTATGAATAACTAATAAACTATACAGATTGACAGCTGAACATCTCTCAACAATAAATATAAGACTGAAAAAAAATGCTGCTACTGTAACAAAAAGTCAGCGGAGTTGGGATCCATGTGCGGCTTTATTAAAAGTATAAGCAGTAATACAAACAGGCAGGCGTCGATCACCAGCAATATAATAGCCAAGGCAAAACAGAGACGTGGTCACAAAACAGGCATAATTTAGACATCAGCAATCATTCTAATGTTCTTATTTGGTAGAGATCTCTAATCTAATGCTGGTGAACTTCAATGTGACACATGAGATTAGTAGCACTGACTGGTTCAGTGACCATTTATGCAGTTTATACAATTTTGCCTGTAGGTGCACATTTAACCATAGTTCACACTAAAAAATGCAGTGAGAAATAATTGTAATGTTGTGATGTTCATCTTTATGTGCTCATTGGTCACAATTTTCCCTGTAGTAGAAGTGGAGGGGCTAAATATGCTAAAACTGGCAGCAACACATTACGTTGGCTGTCATATTTCACATGATCAAATGTGAAATTACAAATGCTCCTCTAAAAATGCATGATAATAAAAATTCCCATATGAGCCTTAAAATAACAGATTTGTAGTTAAATATAGTGTTAAAATGATAGTCTCATAGTACGCCAGCAGGTGGCGGCGATGTTGCATGGAGTTGGTTATGGCACTGGGCTCTCTTGGAGTCTCGCGTGAGTTTGAGAGCGAGATTTCCTCGTGATAACCACGAGAGCCGCAACCAGGGCAGTAGCTGGGATTTGCTGGGCCCCAGTGCAGGTTGTACCAGTGGGCCCTGTCTGAAATAGTTTAATTTGTATGTTCGTTCTATTTATTTATTTGTGCTATTTACTCAATGTTTACGTTTTTTTCAAGTTTAGGTGTCCAGGTACAGAAACCGAATAATCAAATGTAAAACAGCACTGCATAGTCTTCACTGTAAAAATTAAATATACAGTTAAACCAAAATTTATTCAGACACCTTCAACATTTCTCACATTATCACAGTTTATTAACTATTTATAGTTTAGAAAATGGTAATAAAATATGACAAGAACTCAGAGTTAAACTGTGTCAGAACAAATTCATCTTGATAATGTCAGATAACGTTGATAGTATAGTATAGTATAGTGAGAATATTTACACAACTATCAATACTTTGTTGACCTTTTACAAAGCAATGCTCAATTTGGTTCAGTCTATGGTGTAAAAAGGTCGCATTAGCAATTAAAGAAAAAAAACACTTAAGCAAAACATGGTCAGGTCAAAGTGTCTGAATATATAATATATATATATATATATATATATATATATATATAAAATAAAAAAAATAAAAATAAATACACACTGCCCTTTACCCACTGTTCGTCTAAAGTGTACATTTTTTAAACACTTAACATATTTTCAAACCTATATTATTTTTTAACTCTACAGTTGTGCAGTAAAATACACTTTAGAGATTAAATTTTCATTCATGAAGATGAACAAATTTGCCAAAAATGTGTCTCCTGGTAGAAATAAAAGACTTTTAAGATGAAAATGACATGAAATTACCACTGTTAACAGTAGATGGCAGCACAGGATCACTCATCAGCTCAGTTTCCATTTCCGCTCCCTAGTTTTAGTCTTGCCTTTGGATTTATTATAAAATTACTATTATACCTTTTTTTTTTACTTTTACTGTACTAAAGTATGAATAAATAAGTTAGTTAATAATAGTATATGGTAATTAAATAATAATGCATTAAGTAATTTCTCTTTAACTGGTAGAAGCTGCTAAATATATTCAGCCAACACAGACTTGTGCTACTGTAGGTTTGTTACTCAGAATTTACTCTGCATTACTTAATGCACTGCTCTATTTTGACATCGGCTTGTCATATGGTTCGTTCCGTCCATTGCTACAACATTTATAACTATCAAAAGTGTCAATCATAGTAATAACTCGCGGAACAATTTAGCTGATTCACTCGCTATTTTTTTACACTCGCGTTTGTCATTCCTGAAACAGTATACGTGGACAAACAAAACTTTTCTTCAAATTTTAAATGGATTATGAGAAACCGTTTTTCTTGTTATAATGGGAAGATCTGCGAGCGCGTAGAACTCTGTAAACTTGTGAAAACAATTAGTTCAGAGCGGATTCTGACTAACCTACAGTAAACATCTCTGATCTGATTCTGATCTGATTTGTGCATGACGTGTCGCTATGGAAATAATAAGATGATACATATATATTATTTAATTATTTAATATTGCATTTTTGTATAATTACCATTGTCCATTGACACGTTATTTGAAAGTTTCATTGATATAACATGAAGTGAGTTGTTAGAAATGTATACTGACATCATTGCATGATGACTAAAGGAACCTACGAATCGGTTCTTTGAAGCGGTTCATTGACCCAAACTTC